TGTCAGCAAGACTACAGGAAGACGAATTAAAAACATACATGCGCAACAAGGAAACAGATTTCCTGGGGAAAAGGGGGAGCCTTCTTTGGAACACGGCTCTGAGCAAGCCAGCGAACACTGAACAGTGCGTGCACAGGCACGAGCACAAACAGGCACGAGCACGCACACGTATGCGCACGCGCACACACATGCACAGAGCACACAGGCACACGCGGGACACACACGCGGTGTACATGCGGTCTATGCATAATCTTCAGCCTGTGCGCACACACGTACGCAGGCCACTTCTGCCTGCTGAGTGCTTCACGTCTGCAGCACAACGCTCGAGCAGGCAGTTCTTCCTGTTCTCCTCCAGGGCTGGGGACCACGTATGTGTCCCCACCCCCAGTGAGAGGCAGGCCAGGCCTTACCTGTGTCAGCTGCTGGGCATCCCCCTCAGAAAGCAGCGGCTGGGCCCTCTGCAGCTGTGGCTGCCCGCCCTCCGGGCCTCCTGCGGGCGCGGCACAGCCCATGAGCCCGGATGCTGGAACGGAAAGCTGAGGTCAGCGGCGATGTCTTTCAGAAGGCGAAAACCACACACAAGTGCTCGGAACTCCACAGGGCAGTCGAGCCAGCTGCGGTGCTGGCCAGGCCGTGGGTCCCACGCAGGCCCACACCCGCCTGAGTGTGTAGCACTGTGGACCCCAGAGCTAACTCCGTCTTCCGAAAGAGCAGCCCTTCATCCAGCAGAGGTCAACTCTGTGCGAGAGAGAAAAACCAAAGATGTGGAGCACAAAACCTCAGAACTGTTGGACTGTGGCGAAAGGTCCATAAAATGCATCACCAGGAAACTGCGGGGAGGGCTGAGCTGCTCCACAGAGCACTGTGGTTCGGAGAGCACAGGAAATGGCCAGCCTTGGGCCAAGCTCCGCCGCGTGTGCACCCGGCTGCTGTGGGCTGAGTTGCAGCCGCCCGGGCAGACAGGCTTGGAGGGGCTGGGTATCTCCGAGGCTCAGGGCTGCCCGTGGGCCTCGGCCTCTCCGAACGCCTGCACACGGGTTGGCTGCATCCAGGACAGGGCAGGCTGCGGAGGGTACCAACTGTGTGGTGAGGTTCCTGGTGGCCACGGTGGGGTACCACCTTTCCAGTACCTAGAGAGCAGCTCCACGACACCCCCAGTCCTGGCTCTTTCCCATAACGAGGGGAGCAGTGGCCAGTGTACAGGCCAGGCAGTGAGGAAACAAAGCGCTGAGCCTCCAGGGCCTCTTTCCTGGGCCACGGGATGCAATACTGCGGCTTGCAGGCCCTGATGGACACACCGGGAAGGGGAGCGCTGCTCCCAAGTGAGGGCAAAGGTCGAGCTGGTCAGCACACAGCCATGCTAACCACCCGGCTGCTGCCCTGCCTTGCCCAGGAAAGAGGCTGGGCACACACCACCCCGCGGGCTCCTGACCTCCTGCAGCCGACCCTCACAGGCCACTTCCTGTCCCGGTCCAGGACATCTGCATGTGGGCAGGATGAGGAGGGCAGGAGAGCCTGGGGGCAGGGAGGCCCTTTGGCACCACACCCACTCTGTGCCTCTTGGCTTCTGAGCCTGCCCTCACAGGAAACGACCTTGGGACCCACCTCTGGGACCACTGCTCTCCTCTACGGTTCTCGAAAAGCACCTGGCTGCGGCTGACTGACTCCGGGCCTCTGGTCTCTGTGCAGTGCTGGTGCTGCAGCTCCCTGCACAGCCCTCCTGCTCACCACAGGACAGCGGCCTGGCGCAAGATGCTGGCTAGGCATGAAGGGTGCGTGCTGCAGCGGTCAAGACGAGCAAGGTGGGACCCTGTCGTGCACGCCCGCTCCAGGCGTGGGCCGCAGCAGCCCCCGTGCTGGCCCATGACTCCCAACTCCTTGCATGTCCTCGGCGGTCCCTCACGGGGACCCGTGGCTCCAGCATGGGCTCTGGGGAGCTACAGGACAGGGACGCCTTCTGCCTGTGCACCTCCGCAGCCGGGGCTCTGCACACAGCCAGACGTTACTTCTCACCACGGAGGCTGGGGCTGGGCTGCTTTCCACATCTGCCAGGGGCCAGGACACAGGACGCCACAGGCCCCGCCACTCACAGCCAGCTGTGGCTTGGTCTCGGGCATTAGGAGATGTCTGAGGAGAACCGTCACGACGTCACCCCCCAGGAAGGAGACCGGGGAGCACACTGAGCAGAGAACCCTGGCAGGCAGTGGGGTGCTGGCCCAGGGAGGGCCGTGTGCTGCAGGGACCGCCTGCTGTGCTTGCCCACGCCTCACTGGGCCCCACCCGCAGCAGTGCCTGGGCACCGGGAGCCGAGGACACGTGACCGCTCGCCTGCCCACGTGGGAAGGGCAGCACGGGAGGCCGAGGCTGGACGCAGCCGTGGGTGCGTTCCCAGTGTGGGAAGAATGTACCTGAGTGGCTCCCTCTCGGCGGCCTCCTGGCCAGGCAGGCACCCCACCACCCCAGCGTGGCGCCTGACTCCACAGGGCACGGGGTGGGGCCCAGGACACCACTGGGTCAGCACCAAACATCCCGGGCCAGAAGACCCCGAACCTCAGGACGTTCTGAGAACCCGCTTGGTGAAAAGCCCTGCGCAGGAAGCCTGGCCTCCTCACAGTGTCAGCACCACTGTGCACAGTCACTCTCGGGCCACGTGCAGAGGCGCACGTGGAACAGGGCCTCTGCTCAGATCGGGGCCCCGTCCCCCAGACATCCCACCGTCTAACCCCACACCAGTGTCCACACGCATCCCTACGAGCGCAGCCCCTCTCCTGTGAGTCGGAGCCCCCCCACAGGTCTGAGGTGCTGGGCAGAGCTCGGGTGGCCTGCAGTGACCCCCACAGCTCCGTCCATGCCCGGCCTCCGGGCCGCTCCTGCTGCAGAGACCCGCTCCCGCCGAGGCCTCCTCTGCGGCCTGTGTGGCCTGCAGGTGTGGTGACACTGCCCCCGTGTGGCCACAGTGGATCCCTAGGTCTGCGCCCGCTCCAACTCCAGACAGCACAGAGGGCCAGCGACGCAGCGAGGCGCAGACCTGCACCAGGCTGTGGCCATCAGTGTGCCCTCCCGAGCACCCAGGACCTGAAGGCCATCACGCCACCTCCCACACATGGCCACGCAAAGGCTGAGCCCCAAGCCCGTGAGCTGCAAGGCATGTCCCCTTGGAAACACGGACAGCAGGCAACTGTGCTCTGGAAGCTGAAGCAGGAGGATCACAGTTTCGAGCCCGGCCTGCATAATGCAGCGACTTAACAAGGGCCGGAGACTTAGCTCAGTGTGAGACGCAAAAGTGAAAATCACAAAGACAGACCCTCCCGTCGGGTGTGGGAGGTGTCCCGCCAGGAGGCAAAGGCAGCAGGGAAAGCTGTGTCCTACCCTGGGCGTGCCCCACACAAACACAGGGACGGGAGGCCTGCTCCTGTCCCTCAGGAGGGAGGACCTTGGGCCCGGATCCCATGTGCCACACAGGACAGGGCAGCACGCCCCTGAGAACAAGGCCCACGAAGGGACTTGCCGGAGGAAGAGGGTCCCGGTGAGGTCAGAGGGGTCCTGGGCTGAGGCATCGCCATGGGACAACACCTGGACACAGAGCACAGGAGCCAGGACAAGCGCCCCCTCCGACGGGAGGGGACATGGCCCTCCCGCAGCACAGACCACCGTGGGACCTGACCCTCACTCGACACGGCACAGGGGCGGTGTCCCAGTCCTCACAGCCGCCTGCCCTCGGTCACCTGTGGCCGTCCCTGCTCAGCCTCACCACGTGGAGAGGCTCCTCCTCCCCACCCTTCCCAGGCCAACTCCACTTCCGGCCTTCCTTGGCCTGGGTTTGCCCTCCACGCTGGGCCAGGCGTCTCCTCTGACTTGGCCTGGCCACTGCGTTCCTCAAAGAGAGTGCTGGGTGCCACTGCAGGTCACACCATCTCCCTTACTCCCCTCTGTCCTCATCTCTTCCTGACCCCTGCTCGCGCCCTAATCCAGGGTGCGGTAGGCCACGGCACACACAACTGCACCTGGGGCCGGGTCCTGTGGACGTGACGCTGCACACGGCCCCACGCGCAGGCCCGGAGAGTGAACGAGCGCTCCCAAAGCCACGAGCCCCAACACACAGAGCTCGGTGGCTAGACAGGTCCAGCCGGCGCCAGGGCAGGGGACATGGCAGAGCCGCTGGGAGGGGCGGCTCCTCAGAAGGGTGAGGGGAGACTGGCCAGGGAGGCCTGGCGTGTCTTGCTGCGTGGCATCGCAGAACCCTGTGCTGTGTCCTGGACACAGAGTGTGTCCACAGGGCTCAGCACTGGCCGCGTCCTGGAGAATGACACGGAAGGCCACGGGACAGAGAGGACCTCGAGCGGTCCTCAGGTCACGGTCCGGGTGATGGATGCCGTTGAGGGGAGGAGCGGGCCTGGTCCCCATGCTGGCTTCCGGGTTGCAGCGTGCTCTTGGCTGTGGCTCTTCCCGAGGCCGCCCAATCTCCAGGCTTGCGCCCTTGCCCTCGCCCCCGGCTCCCAGTACTGTTGTACCTGGCAGCACACCAGACTGCTGGACCCTTTCTGACTGGCTTCCATGGAGGCAATGAGCTCAGACGGAGCCAAGGTTAAGTTCCTCTGGCCCTGCGGGACCCAGCTCCAGCCCACACGGCCGGGCCTGTGGCCGAGGCAGCACAGGTGACAGGGACAGGTGCAGGGGCCAAACTGCTCACCTTAGCGTGAGCCAAGAAGCAAAAGGAGGTGGAAGATGGGGCCCCTCGGGGCAGGCCCCGCCCCCAGTGACCTTAGGACCTCCCATGAGGCCCCTCTCCTGAGGGTCCTCTGGCCTCCCTTGAGCTCCACCCTGGGACCAAGCGACCAAGCCAGCTGCACAGGGGCCTCTGGGGACACTAAGCACCCAACCACACAAAGACACAGTCCGACCGCCCGCGTGCGTCCAGCGTGGACACGCAAGGAGCGGCCACCTGTACGCTGCAGCCCGGCGCCTCCTCTCAGAAGTCTGCACACAGCCCCGCTGCTCACCTGCGGGTCCTGAGCTCGAAAGTCCCGCGGCGTCTCCCAGCAGCTCGACCTTCTCGCTGAACTGCACCTCTAAAACGGGGATGACCTCTGGCATCCTGGCTGACAGCAGGCGGAAAGCCACGTCGGGCTTCCCGATGCAGCGCTGGCGCACGCTCACTTCGTAGGGCGAGTGGACCCTCACGCTGTCCACCTCTCCCCTCCGGAACCTGTGCAGGAGCGTGGCGTTGGAGTCATGGATTTCCAGCGCAGACACCAGGACAGTGAGCTGTCCAGGCTGGGTGTGAGACTCTGCTCTCCCAGAGACCACCGCGGGGACTTGGATCACAACCCCTTCCTTCCCACAGGGCTCACTGGTAGCCACAGGGGCAATTTCCCTGGGCTTTGCTTCTTCTGGCGTCTTCCACAGCTTGGAGCTGAAGGGCCACCAGGACGGAGACTCCAGTTCCGTCAGCAATCTGAAAGAGCAAAGAAAAGGCCTGAGCCAGCCGGTTAAAGAGAGACGCCTTTTGGGTTTTGGAAGACTGGGTCAGCCTTTTCGGATGTTCCATCTTACGGCCAGTCCTCCCTAGGGGCCTGTCCAGCGGACACAGCAGGGCTGTCACCTGCCCATCTGGGCGTACAAGCAGAGAATCAAGGCAGGGCAGGCACTGGCTGCAGGAGCCCAGCGAACAGCAGGGTGGCCGAGCACACACACCCAGCGGCAGTGCTGCTCTCCATGCGGCACGCGGCTGCGCCTGGGGAACTCGACTGACCTCAGGCTCTCCATAGCTGGATGTGGACATGTCCTATGTCTACACTGGCTGGCAGGGCAGGAGATCCCTGTGGCCATCATATACCTAAAGTGCAGCCAGTGCAACTGAGGAACTGCATTCTTAGTTCAGTTTCAGCTACCAGGCCGGCCAGCACAACTCCAAAGGGATCACCAACACCTCCCAGAGACATGTCTGGTTGAGTTAACAAAGGAGACAAATGAAGGCAGGACAAGAGAGCAAAGGTCAAATGGAACAGACAGGAAGCAAGTAGCAAGAGGGTAGACTGACGCTGACCCACGTTTGATGTTCATATTTCACGGACATGGACTAGACACTCCAGACAAAAGGCAGTGTCAGCCTGAAGAGACAAGATCCAACTGTGGCTTGCTTACCAGACATTCTGGACACTATGAAAACGCAGTACATGGGAAGCAAGGGATTGCACACAGATGCACTACACATCATGCCAAAACCCAGGGAGTGCTACCGGGGCACTGCACGGTCATAAGAGAATCCACCCAACAGAAAGACTTAACAACAGTAAACATGCAAGCACTTAATAACAGAACTTTAAGATTCACCAAGCAAAAAATTGACAAAAGTAAACAGAGAGCATCAGAAGGCTGAGGCAGAAGAATTGCTGTGAGTTTGAGGCCAGCCTGAACTGCGTAGTAAAACCCCGTCTCAAAAACACAAAACACAAACACACACACACCAGAAAAGCAGATGGCCACAGGTACAGACCTGAACACATTTCTCTCAATGATTAACAAAATAGCAAGACCTAAAGCAGCTCCCTCAGTGGCAGTTGCAGAAACATCAGCCAACAGCGCCGAGTGTGCAGTACCCCAGCTGCACAAAAACATTCCCCAAGAAAGACAGTGCTGAGTCCCAACAGTGCTCAGTCCACGAAGAAACGAGAGAAGTCAGGAGCTACAGGACAGCGACCAAACCCTCCAGTGGAAGCAACCACGTACTTAAGTAGTTCCTAGACCCCGAAAGAGCAAAAAGGACGTTAGAAAACTCTAAAGTAAATGAAAATACAATATCCAAAAATGGCAAGAAAACAGGGTAGATACTGGAGAGGAAAGTATAGGTTTCAGTGTGTTCTCATGAAAATTTCATAAAAAAAGGTTTAAAACCAGTGATCTATGCTGGGGCAGGGACACGGCTCGCTGGTACAGCACTTGCTTTGCTGGCATGTATAAGGCCCTGCTTCCATCCCAGCACCACACACACACCCATCCTAGAGCAAATTAGCCTCAGAGGAAATGACACGCAGAAACTAACAAAACTGAAAACAAAAAGTGAAGCACTACCGAAGCCAAATTTGGTTTTTTGAAGTAATTTTTAAAAAGTTAAACTATTACTAACAAGAAATGATCAAGGAAAAAAAGAGACACTACAAATTACCAATATTGGGAATGAGGAAAGACTTCATTACCACAAAGCCTAAAAGTCTTACATAGCCGGGCGTGGTGGCGCACGCCTGTAATCCCAGCACTCGAGAGGCTGAGGCAGGAGGATCATTGCAAATTCGAGACCAGACTGGGATACAAAGTGAATTTAAGGCCAGCCTAAACTGTATAGTGAGACCCTGTCTCAAAAAGACAAAAAAAAAAATCTTAGAGATTATCTTCAACATCAATAAACTCATCAATTTACACGAAATGGAAAAGTCACTTGAAAAACCCAACTTTTCTAAAAGTTAAGAACATGAACTGCTTTATAAATAAACAACCTGTAGCGGAAGATCTCACCAGAGAGAAAACTGTGGTCCAGGTTTTCTGCCTCCACTGGCAAATTCCATAAGGAAGAAGGAATAGTGACGGTGCTAAAACCCTTTCATAGGACGTAAAAGCTGCGCAGATCACACTAGGTGTGCTAGCACACACCTATAATCCCAGCACTCTGGGTGGCTGAGGCAAGAGAATCACAAGTTCAAGTCTAGCCTGGGCAGTTTAGAGACTTAGCAAAAACACTCAGAATAAAAAAGGACCTCGGAAGTAGCTCAGTGAGTTCAATCCCTAATACTGCAAAACGAACAAAAAGCAACAAAAACAAAAACCAACTGAGCAGATTTCTAAACCACTCAATCTTCCAGCGCATTCCTCAAGTATGATGTTGTGAAATATACTTGGCTGTATGTTTCAGCTCTCGAAGCTCTGGGCTCTGGGGACACAGGTCTTTGGTGTGCTGATGAGCCCCCCACTGCCCAGCAGCCCTGGGTGCTTCAGCACGGGCTGACACGGAAAGACCAAGGCAGGGTCCCGGGGCTGGGACTCCCCACCCTACCCTGCCTCCAGGGGGGCAGAGGGGCTGAGCGTCCAGCCAGTCTAGGGCCTAGCGACTGAGTCAGTTCTGCCTGCGTCACGAAGCCTCCAAAAACCCAAGGCCAGGGCTCAGGGACTCCTGGGATCTGCACACGGGGAGGGCGGGGCCCAGGGAGGGCAGGAAGCCCAGCCTCCCCATACCTGCCCTGTACACCTCCTCCTCTGCAGCCTGGTACTGTCCTGATGAGAGACCAGGAACTGAGCAAGGTCCCCTGCCCCAGACCCTGTGCCCAGGGAGCAAGTCCATCCAACCCCAGGAGAGGTTGAGGGAACCCCGCTTTACGGCCAGCCGAGGAGGAAGTCAGAATCCCAGGTGAGGCAGCCTGGGCTTCTGGTGGCACCTGAGGTGGGGGCCGCGCTGGGATGGAGCCCCACCTGTGGGCGGTGCAGTCTGCAGGCAGGTAGTGTGGGGCAGAGCAGGATTAGAACCCTCTGGTGGATAAACCCCACTCACTGGTGTCAGTGCCTGCCGTTCGGGGAGAGTGCGGGAGAAGCTGAATTTGGTCTGTTTTTCTATGCAGCTTGGACGCTGGGTTTCACAGACTTTAGAGTAACCGCTGGGAGTGCTAAAGAAGGAAAGGCAACCTATTTCAATGAAGTGAGCGTGGTGATAGTGATGGGTTAAAGAGACAGAAACTACACTAGAAGAGCCAAAGGAAAATCTCGAAGCAAAAAGTGCAACAGAAACGAGAGCTTCATCAGGCAAAGGAAGAGTCGCAGTGTACGGATGGAGGTATGGACAGCACAGCTTGAAGGTCAGGACAACGGTGAGGGGGAAGACAGGTGGACGACCGAGGCCTCGCACCCCAAGAAACCGGTGAGCTGCTCATGTTTCATGAGACACAAGGGCGCCCAAGAGTCCACGCGTGGCCAGCAGTGACACAGAGCTGCGTGTGGCCCACCGGGGAGCTGGACGGCCTGTCCCCTCCTGTGCCAGGGCCTGAGGCCACGTGGGTCAACGCAGTCTTGTGAATCAGTACCCCAAGTGGCCAGGGGACAAAGGAAAATCACCTGCCACGAGAACCAGGAAAACCCTGACCTGGTGGAGGACAACAACAGCATCGGCCAAACCCAAGATGCGGTGGCCGGCGAAACTCTCGACAAGGGTTTTCACAGAGCCGGCATCAGAAGGCTTCTCCAAGCCACGAAGCACCGGCTTGGGACAAACCATCGAGGGCCACCCGCGGCGCACGCAGTGCAGCTTGCGCTGCTCCCCGGCACCACGCCCAGGTGGCTGTCACCGTGGCCTCTGGCAGTCAGACGGCTCTACATCTTCAGGGCATGCTGATGTTTCCGTGTCATCTGCATCCCACAGCGATCTCCTCAAGATGCTCGGTTCTCTGTCGTCTCGAGCATCTTACCGTTCCAGTGTGATGGGAACAATTGGAATCCCTCCTTCTAGCCATCCTGAGCCAGGTGACACAGCACGACGCCCCGTCATTTCCTGCGTGCAGCAACTCAGCCTGCGCTCCTCCCAGCTGCCAGCCTGGGTGCCTGCTACCTATCTCCCAGCCCCTGGGACCACCCCCACACCTCCCAGGCTCAGCCACTCTGGATTCCAGGTTCGAGTGAAATCACACAGCCTGGTCCTTCTGGCCCACCCGTGATGGTGCTATGTTCAGCAGCTTCCTCCCTGGCTGAACTGTCTACCTGTATACCACCTCTTTACCCACTCGTGACACGGCCTCAGCCACCAGCTTCAGAGGCCCCCTCGGCCCCCTCTGGCAGCAACTTGTTGCCACCCAGCCCTGGCACGCGGGGAGCCAACTGCTCCCACAGTGCCTGGGATGCCAGCGGAGGCCCAGCTCCTGCTGCATTTCTGAGCCACGCCTCTGCAGGCTGCCAGGCCCTCCTGCTGTGGCACAGGAGCCGGGCCCTCGGGGAGCGAGCGGGAACAGGTCTCTCGGGAGGAACCACGCTGCCATCCACACCCAGGGCTCTGGCTGCCCTGCCCTGTGGCAGAAGGTGCTGCCACTCGATCTTGCCCAGTGTGGGCCCCTCCTGGCTCAAGCTGTTAGATCCCTTCCTGAGCAGAGTGCCGAACCAGGGCCGGAACCTCCGAGCTGGGCCACTGCAGTCCCCGAGTCCCTGTGGCCGAGCCAGCTTCCCAATGCTGCCACCACAACCCCTGGGCCTCGGCGTCCTTTCCTGAGCATTCTCCAGACCCTGCTGCACGCTACGCAAGAGCATGCACCCCTGTGCTGTGTCTCTCAGGCCTGCTGCACCCAAGTCTGGTGACACGCCGGGTTCTGAGGACAGGTTCCTGACGTCCTGCAAGGCAGCAGGCCTAGGCCAGGCCCACAGCCCCTGGCAGAGCAGGGCCGTTCGCAGACGGGGCAAGGGCTGCTTCCACTGGCAAAGGAGACCACATGGACCTCCGTGACCACTCAGCTTATACATCAGGTACAGTAAGGATCAAGGGCAGCAACAAATAAATACAGGGCGATTCCAACAACGCAGCAGAATGAAGGCCGTGGGTGTGGTCTCGGAGGCGCTTCACAGCTTCTCTTTGGCCTGTCTACATTGCTGGCATCCCTGTGCTTGCGTGCTGGGACCGTGCCAAGTAAAACCGAGGCCAGCTGAGCACAGGCACCGTGACGCCCGAGCGGCAGCGCAGGTCTCACGTCCACAGCGCAGCCGTGCGGGCTGCGCGGCTCTGCTCTGGGCGGGAGCACGCCGCCAGGTGGCACGGCACCACGCTGCTCACAGCCACTCGCTCGCTAAGGGGCTTGCGCAGGGGTTTCTGGACCGCACCTCGGTGCTCGACCTACCCTGAGGGGAGCAGAGCCGTGAGTGGGGGGGGGACTGCTGTAACTGTAAACATAAAAGCGGCTCCCTTTCCTTGAATCCTTCCTCGCTTTTTTCTTTTTTTGTGGCACTGGGGATTGAACTCGAGGATTCAGACATGCGAGGCAAGCACTCTACCACGGAGCTAACTCCCCAACCCTCTGTAAAGTTGAGACAGAGTTTTGCTGAGTTGTTCAGGCTGGTCTTGAACTTGCATTTCTCCTGCTTCAGCCTCCCAAGTAACTGGGATGACAGGCAGACACCACTGTTCCTGAGGGAAAGAATCTACTTCAACACTAATGTTTAAGCAATATGCACAGAAACTTAAAATGAGTCTGAGCTTGGTGTGCTGAAGAGAACCATCTAAAGGACATGCTTTTAAGAAGAGTGGTGGGAGGTTATCACCAAGGGGCAAGCCAATACTTCATTACCCGAGCGCGGAGCGAAGAGATGACCCCAGAGCAAACACCCTCGCCGGGGAGACCAGCCAGGTGAGCAGCGGCCAGCAACGGGGGCTGCAAAGCTGACCACAGTGGCCTCTATGAGCAGGTTTGGCACAGGGACAGTGCAGGGCAGCTGTCTGGGAGGCCAGCCAGGCCCGGTGTCCCCTGAGCACTGTGATACCACATCTCCCATCCTTGAAGGCAGCGGGCTCCAAAGAGCAGATCCTCTTTACCAAGCCCAGGCAGGCCCGGGTCCCTGCCAGCAGGAGACACCGACCTCTGACCTGAGGTCCCATCCACAGTCAGCACGGTAGCCCCCACCACACAGGGAGCACGGGACAGGGCAAAAGAAAAATTTAACAAGTGTAAAGCAGAATAAAAATAAAGGCACAAAGCAAAAGAAGAGGGAATATGTAAGAAAACCTTTAAAAGATCACAGACATATAAAAAGGGAGCTCTGCACAGACTGTGCTTCTGAAAATGTGGCAGAGAAATAATATGGGATTAACTCCCACTTTGAGGGACAAACCCTGAGCTCCACAAGGTCCACCATAAACGCATCTGGAAACGTACAGGAAAACTGAGACACAGCACAGATTGTCACAAGAGGGAACGCATGTCACCAGCAGGAGCCACCCGCTTCCAACAGCTCAGCTCATCACATGGATGCACGCCCAGCCTCAGAGACCCTCAGCACACAGCCTGTCCCCACACGGGCGCAGGCCAGCCTCAGGGTGTGCACCCCTCTCCCCTTGAGCGGGGACAGCAGGCCTCGGGTTGCCCACCTGTCAGCCACATCCAGGTCTGACTCCATCTTCTCCAGGCCCTTCATGACACTGTCCAACTGCTCGCCCTGGTGGTGCAGGACCTTGGCTGTGTCTTCCAGGCGCCTCTGGGAGCTGGTCATCAGCCCAATCAGCTCCTGCCCTCTCGCTGGGGTGGAGGAGGCCAGCTCTGTGGCCGTGCCCTGCCGGGACAGCAGCAGTTCCCTCCAGAAGTGCTCCACGACGCTGAAGACCACATTGCGGCTGGGCCGCAGGGAGCTGAACCAGTGCTTGAGGTGGCCTCTCTCGAGGATGGTGATGGCGCTGAAGATGAAGTGCGAGGTTTCCTTCCGGATCTCCACGACGCTGGCGAGGGGCAAGCCCACGAGCACCTCTCCAGCCCTGTCCGCTGTGAACTTCAGCGTGCGGGGCGTCAAGGACAGTCTCCCAGGGACCCATCGCTTCTCAAGGGCCAAGTAGTAGGAGCAGGACCAGGAGTGGACGCAGACATCGCGGCTCATCTGCCTTGGGTCTGCTGTGCCACGCTGAGGCCACACATACACCTCTGAGGGAGAAGAGACAGGTAGCGGGCAGTCAAGCCAGAAACCGGACCCACGGTGCTTGGACTAGAGACACAAGGAAAACGGCCGGGAAACCGCAGCAGTCCTGGAGGCTCTTCTTAGCGGCAGCGGGATGAAGCCAATTCCTGCCCTGCAAAGGAGGAGAGGGCAGGGTGGAACGGGCTGAAATCAGAACCAAGACCCCAGGTCCAGACCTGTACCCACTCCCTCTGTCACCCCAACATGGAGCTTCTGTCCTGCTGCCCACTGGGCGTGTCCTGAAGGCCCGCTCCCGGGGCCAGACTAGCAGCTCATCCTCAGGCCCTTTCCACAGGAAGGAGAAATACAGTGTTTCCCAGGCAGGTAGAAATGGAGGGAATTCACCACCACCACGTCCACCCTGTAAGAAACGTCCAGAGTACTCCTGCGCTAAGAACAAGAGGATGATCGGCACCATGCTGAAGTCATGCCATGCACAAGGCTCACGAGCAAAGCACACACACAAGAGCGAGGACAATCAAACCATGTGTGACAGAAAATCTCCAAACCACAGAGACAATGAGTGACGAGACAGAACAACAACAAAACCAAAACAATTAGAAGACAACAATAAAGAATAAGAATAGATTCACAGGTATCAACAAAAACCCTGCGTGTGAACTGATTTAAATCACCAATCAAAAGAAAAGGACTGGCTGAATAGATAAAAACTGTACGCCGCCCACCACCAACTTACTTTATTGGTAAACACACGTGGATCGGGAAAAAGTATACCCTAGAAATGGAACCAAAGTGAGCAGGACCAGCTGCCACTCACATAAAGCACATTTTAGATAAAAAGCGCACAGGAGATGGGGGAAAGGACATAAAAAGAATTAACACGTGTTACATACATGTACCAACTCTACACAGGGAATGCAGTCATCGTGTACCGCAAACGTTCTAATGAAAATTTAAAATAAAAGCAAATTGAAAAAATAAAGAGAAGTTAATTACACAATGATAAAAAGATCAGTTCTGCAAAAGACCACCCAAAGACATAAGGCAGAATCACTAGATCCAGCAGGAGAGATAAACTCCAGGATAATAACAGTTGAGGACTTTACCACCCCACTTTCATCAATGGACAGATCATCCAAAGAGAAAAATCAACAAAGACACATCTGGATTGAAAATGGACCTAACAGACATTGACAGAAATTTCATTCAACAGCAACGGAACACACATTCTTCTCAGTAACATGTGGAACATTCTCCAGGATAGGTCATATATAATAGGACACAAACCAACCATCAGAACATTTTTAAAAATTTAAATCATATCATATATCTCCTCAGACCTCAAATAAAATTAGAAATCCACAAGAACAGAGGAAAAGAACAAGAATGGAGGAAAATATAGAACTATATGGAAATTGAACAACATATTCCTAAATGACCAATGGGTAATTGAAGAAGTTTAAGGAAAAATAAAAAAATTTTTGAAACAAAGAAAAATGACCACAAAACATTAAAATCTCTGAGAGAGAGTATACGCAGTACTAAGGGGGAAGGTTACTGTAGTAAATGCATGTTCCCCAAAACAGAACGAAGCTAGCTGTGGTGCTGCACGCTTGGAATCCCAGCTACTTGGGAACTGAGGCAAGAGGAGTTTAGGGTATAGGCCAGCCTGCAACTTAGTGAGGCCCTCTCTCAAAATAAAAAACAAAAAGGGGTGAGCCGCAGGTAGTTTACAGCAAACCAAACTGAAAATTAGGAGAGGGAAAAAATAAGTAACAAGGATCAGAGCAGAAATACATAAAATCAAAACTAAAATCACCTGCCATGTCCAATACAAATGATCAGTGAAGCAAAGAATTGGCTTATTAAAAAGACAAAATTAGCAAACTTTTAGATGGACTAATCAAGGAAAAAGACAGAGGAGCCAAATAAACTCAGAGATGAGAAAGACGTTACAACTGGTACCACAGAAATAAAAAGGTATCATAAGAAATTATGAAAACATTTCTTTAAAATGTAAGAAAAGAAGCTATTATGAACAATTATATCTAACAAATTAGAAAACTGAATAGTGGACAAGTCCTGGACATATACAACGTACTAAAAGTGAACTGAAAAGAAACAGAAAATCTAAACAGACTAAGAACGAGCAACAAGGCTGAAGCAGTAATTAGGTCTCCTGCCTATAAAGCATCTAGGACCTGATAGCATTTGGCTGAATTGCCTTTTTTTTTTTTTGGTGCTGGGAATCAAACTCAGGACCTTGCACTTGCCAGGCAGGCGCTGTAACTACTGAGGTGTATCCCTGGCCCATTTGGCTGAATTCTACAAAACATCTCAGAGCGATTCCAATCCTTAAACTATTTCAAGCAGCGGGCATTAGACTAGGAGGGACTTGGAAAGGAGAGAATAAGGGGCATCAAGAAAATGCGACAGAGGAAGTCGCTCTGGCTCTTGATAGGCCAGGGAATTACTGCACGACGCAGCCCAGGGTATACTCCGGCGCAGCGAAAGGAGAACCGAACCAGGAGAACCCGACCCAGGGGAAGGGCGGCCCTGCGCCGGCAGCGCTTACTCGCGTACAGCACCGCGCACTGCATGCACGTGCTGAACTACCGCAAACACGCCCACGAGTCTCAATTCCGGAAACGCGCTTCCTAATCCAAGTACCATCGTAAGTACTTGGTGCGTCCCAAGAAACTCACAGTGCAGGAGCGCCGCAGACGCCGTACGGCACGCTCAGTCACAGGACTGGCCGCTCGCGTTTGCAGCCTCTCCGGGTGGCATCCAGATGTGGGTGGGGCCGCCAGAGAATGGCACGCTCGGTACAAGTTCCAAGGCTGTGGCTACCGTGCTGTCTCTCACAGCAGCCGCTTTGACACTGTCCAGTGTACCTCTTTTCCTACTCAGCCCAAACTCGCTCTGCAGAGCGTTTCTCCTACCTTTACTAAAGGTAAAAACAGAGTGCCAGGTTACAGCAAAACGACCACTTCTTTGTCAAATAAAAATAAACTCAACTTCCCTGATGCCCTCTTCAAGCACTTCCCAGCACAACCCGGCCTTCCTTCTGACCACCGAGGCAAAGGCAGGCCCACCTGCCTGCTGCCGTGCACGGATCCACCGCCTTCAGTCACTCCTGTAGTCACAAGGTCACAGTTCTGCCTGAGATCGGGACAAGCCCAAAGGGCACTGCCTTCCCAGGGATGAGAATGTCGTCGTCATTACAGAATAAAATCGGATGTGAGTGATAGTGATAAACATGTCAGGGCTGGAGGGATAACCCAGGTCGAGGAGGAAAACTGGGACCCATGGGAGCCTGAGCCAAGCCTAAGAATCTGACCTTGCCCAGACCAAGGGAAAGCACCACAGTAAAAACAAACAAAACACCTCGCACTCTCATGGTGAGACAGCCAGGAAGTTTACGCCTGATGTCACTGGAAAGCAGGGAGATTTTCTCAGCTGTGGCAGACACCGTGCTTCCAGAGAAGGGTTGTCTTTCTGAGAGGGCTTGGCAGGTGAGCCCGCACCGAGTTCCTCATCAGCACACTCCTCGGGGTCACGCTGAGGCCCAAGCGAGGGGAGAAGCCTGTCCAATGGGGCAGTGTCTCCCTGTGAACTCCGGAGACTGGTCCCTGAAATGGGAACCACCTGAGCCCTGTGCCGCCATGCCTTGTGAGCAAGGGCCGGGGACTTCAGTGGCCACAGGCGAAGGCACCTGAGGCACATGCGTGACCCTCAATAATCGGTGGAATCTGCGTGTCAGAATCAGGGGGTGGTGCCCACTTCAGCTCAGCCACGGACTGCAAAGTTTCAGGCCCGGGTGGAAGGTAAAGAGGCCCAGGCAGGGCACTCGCCACCCCGTAGGCAGCCTTGGCCTGGCCCAACCGAACAAAGCTTCCCACCTCAGTCACACCCGCACAGGCCAGGGGCAGTGTGGATTGGACTGACAGCTGGTGGGCAATCTGGAACAGCCAGCTGAACTGAGTCAGCGTGGTGCTGGGTGTGGAAGACCCACTTGAGGACTGCTGCCACCAGCATAAAAGGAGAACTGAAGGGGAAGCTGTGTGCTGCTGATTCTCCTGAAACTTTTCATGCTGGCTTTCCTGATATGAACGTCGCTGTTCTCATCACTGGAGGAGCTCAGGTCCTCACTGTTGCTGAGGGTGGCTGTGGTTCTCTTGGGGGGGGGGAGGGCTCTGGTCCTTACCTTGAACATCGCTTCCCGGTTCCAGTGCAGATCCCTCAGCCTGCTAGCACAGATCCTTCATCCCGCTGGCACAGACTTTCTAGTTTTCACCACTGACCTTTGGGCCTTCCCGGTGCAGATCCTTGAAACAGACTTGTGTGAGTCATTGTTGTGGGCTGTAGGCCTCCAGGTGGACTTGGGGGGGTGGGCACTGTCACGGGCTCTAGGTCTCCAGCTGGACTCACGCAGGACATTGCCATGGGACCCAGGCCCTCAGCTGGGTTCTTTGGGTCTGCAGCGTGTGGGCAGATCTCCCGCATTCTTTTGCGTTTGACTCTTTGGGTGACTAATATAAAATTATCCTATGGATTATGTGTCCTGTATTAAGTTGTTTCCCTTGCAAACTCTGACTACAACAGGCAGGAATAGGGGGTTCAGTATTGAGGTACATGTAGGAAAACAACTCATACTCACTTTCTCTCATTATAACATCACTATCCAAATCGCCATGACAACATATGCGCGGGGTCTGTCACCCCACAGCCAGCAATCAGTGCTGCAGGGGTCACCAGCTGGTGTCTTCTAATCCAACCCTGCTGACACCGCCTGCACAGGTGGGGTGTGCACCTGCCTGCAGACTGCACCGTCCACAGGTGGGGCTCTGGCCCAGCATGGCCCTTAACTCAGATGCCACCACAAGCCCAGGCTGCCTCACCTGGGATTCTGACCTTGGCTGGCTATAAAGCGGGGTCCCCTCGACCCCTCCTCACGATGAAGGGACTTGCTCCCCTGGTCACAGGGACTGGGGCAGGGGACCTTGCTCAGTTCCTGGTCTCTCATCAGGACAGTACCAGGCTGCAGAGGAGGAGGTGCACAGGGCAGGTATGGGGAGGCTGGGCTTCCTGCCCTCCCTGGGCCCCGGCTTCCCCGTGTGCAGATCCCAGGAGTCCCTGAGCCCTGGCCTT